ATCATGCCTCGCGTTTCCCCTTTTCTATGTTACGACAGCCTTTTTCAGCTGCAGCACACTGCATTTCTGTCAGTCTCCCGGTATTCCTTTTCACATTCAAAAAGCGGGCTGTGGCATGTAAGGAATTTCACATCAGCCCCTCTGCACCTTGCAACACATCATATAGAGGGGGAAGACATAGAAGGACTGAAAGCATGGAGATGTACAAAAAAGAAGCCTCAGAAGACAGAGGTAAACCTGCTGCACAGGCTGAGTCTTGCAGATTTACAGCTGTTTTTCATTCTGGTTGTTCAAATTTGTTGTGCAACTTCAAAAAAGGGCTTGCTGTGTTTACCAGCCTTGTTGAATGAGTGGAAAAAGTAGAAGAGTCTTCACCGGGATTCACACACAACTCAACACTCCCCCCTGCAGGTGGTTGCTCAAGCATTCAGATGAACCTTTTCCCTGACATAAACCAGCAGATCTATATAAACAGATGTGTTGAGTGGTAGACAGCATTGAATCACTCACTGTGCAGTGGTCAGCACTGATAGGAGATCCAGCAGTGTGAAGCACACAGGATGTCCTGTCAAGGATAATGGAGACTTGTCTCCACTGATGTCCGGGGCTTGTATTGATCAAAGCTCACAGTTGAAGTACACAGTTGAAGTAGTGCTGCAGATCGCTTTGTCTAATTACTTCCCATCTATATTTTATGTTGCTTTTTACTGTCAAAGGTTGTAATTTAAGTGTCCTCATGTCCTGGCGTCTTCTGTCAACATAGTTCATTTGAGACTAACTTTGCCTGCTGTGGTAAATTTTCATTTTTATATGATTTCATCTCTTCATCTAGGACCTCAGTGCACTCCCTTTCCTTTTCATTTGCCCTCTCCTTGTCTTCCTGAGCCTTTCCTGTAATGAGCTCCATGCAGAGCAGTGTTCGTGTAATTAAAATGCACATCATTCATCTGGGAGGAAGGGAGTCTCCTTAATCTACACCAACCCACATTTCAGCCTCTGAGGATATGCCTGCTGTGTGCCACACACATACACACGTATCTCCCTGCGTTTATGATCAGCAACGTCCTGCATTTTCAAATAGAGTTTCATGTATGGAAATTCAAAGAGGGAAAGGGCTTTGTTACTGCGTTCTACTGCAAACAAAAGGGGCTCTGCTGTCGTAAATTGATGGAGGCAGATTGTTAGATGTAGGTCTAAACTATTTTGGGCAAGCAGAAATAGAGCTTTAAACCTCCTGCTTCACAAGTATCTGTAAAACAAAAAAAGCATGATTCTTACATCCTCATCTAAAAATGTCTATTGAAATGTTTTTGTCATCCTCATCTAAAAATGTCTATTGAAATGCACACCTGAGTTTTTCTACTCTGACAAAGAACTCAAACGCCTCGGGGGCCACATTTCTAACACTAAGCACTCAAACGTTATCCTGGTTCCTTACTCTATTGTAGTTCCATTTTCGATCACTGGGGAACAAGTCTGTGCTCTACACTTTCTTTATGGTATGTTCTTTTGGCAGAGAACACTGACACACCTCGATGTGTTTGTGAAATCTGTGGATAGGTCAAAGCTTGCCCTGCGCACAGTTAAAATGAACCATATCTGTAATAAAAACCTAGTAACCTGTAATTTGCCTTTCCTACTTGTAATATCAAGATAGCTTAGACGTGTACAAGTACATGCACAGATCTCAGTACACAATGTGCATTACTTATAGCCTTGGGGCACATGTG